CGAATGTAAAGTGACATTTCTGTGTGAAAGTGACAGGTCTGTGTGAAAAGAAATTGACAGCATCATTTGACATTCGTTTCAAAATTTGTATTGTAGGTATTTGTATATGTACTATGCTCCACACTTCAAAGTCCCACCACGTGACCACGTACGGAACGCAGTCTTTTGATAAATTGTCATTTAAGGCTTTTCAGGTTATGTATCTGTCAAAGTATAGTCAATGCAAGAAATATATACTGTTGCCATTTATGTTTAAGCGTTAAAAGTTTATAAATCTTTATAGTATCACAGTAACAATGGTTGGTTTAAGAGTTAAGGAGTATAAATACTGCATTTAATGAAATTCTAAATTGTATAGTGCCAAATAAGTAACATTTTTGTGCATTTGGTTTACATATATCTGGTTTTATGCATTAAATAGTTTTAACTAAACGGCATTTATTAAAAAAATTTAGCTTGTCTATTATGGAATAAGAATATCTGTATCAAAGGTAGGTTAATATATTATAACAAAAAATATCATCTAATTTTGAAATTTTAAGGTTAGAAAAATCTATTTTGATCAAAATAAATAAGAATTTTGGATTATTTGGAAGAGTGTGTTAATATGGTCATATAAATATAGATATTAGGGTGATTCATTTCCGCAAAGTTTTTGTTTTTTTTCGGTGCTCAAGCAAAATATTAATCTACCTATAGAAAAAAAAAAATTCACCAAGGTAGAGCTCTTAATATCAATTTTAAGTACTTGCAGTTTAAATTTAAAGTTTTCCCATTTAAAATGCATGTAAAAAAAATGTTTTTTTTTCAAATTTCTAATGCTTACCCACCTTTGACAATATTGCAAATCGGTTTAATACACCTTATGGGGAATTTCACGCTCTTTAAAATTGCTTTTGAGTTTTTTTTTGTAACTCGCATTGGTTCACCAGTAGGAGTCGTCAAAGGACAGTTTTTGAAAAAAATCGTTTTTTTTTATTTTTTCGAGCAAATTGCCAAAAGTAGTGAGAAAAAAGGGCTGATTTATAAAAAAAAAGTTATCCAACCAATATTTAATGAATTTACTGCCATTTTTATAACTGAAAACGTAAGAAATTGATAAATACCAACCCATAATGTTATTTAGATTGATTTTTTCTATTTATTATCATTATATTTCCCTACACTAAGAACTTTTTTAAAATTATTATGATTTCTCACTCATAATGAATATGAAAACAACACATAAATTCATAAAAAAAAACAACAAAACTTTAATCGGAATATACAGAAGGTTATGTAACATATTTCAAATTTCGCTTCAAAAAATTAAATAATCTTCATTTATACTTTTTTGCTATTTTTTTATGAATTTATCTGTTGTTTTCATTTTCATTATAAGTGAGAAATTAATAATTTTAAAAAACTTCTTAGTCTAGCGAAATATAATGATAATAAATAGAAAAAATCAATCTAAATAACATTATGAGTTGGTAATTATCAATTTCTTACGTTTTCAGTTATAAAAATGGCTGTAAATTCATTAAATATTGGTTGGATAACTTTTTTTTTTTTGATTCAGCACTTTTTTCTCCCTACTTTTTGCGGTTTGTTGGAAAAAATTAAAAAAAAAACGATTTTTTTTCAAAAACTGTCCTTTGACGACTCCTACTGGTGAACCAATGCGAGTTACAAAAAAAAACTCAAGAGCAATTTTAAAGAGCGTGAAATTCCCCATAAGGTGTTTTAAACCGATTTGCAATATTGTCAAAGGTGGGTAAGCATTAGAAATTTGAAAAAAAAAAATATTTTTTACATGCATTTTAAACGGTAAAACTTTAAATTTTAATAGTAAGTACTTAAAATTTATATTAAGAGCTCAAACTTGATGAGAATTTCTTTTTCTATATGCAGATTAATATTTTGCTTGAGCACCGAAGAAAACAAAAACTTTTCTCCCTACTTTTTGCGGTTTCTTAGAAAAAATTTAAAAAAAAACGATTTTTTTCAAAAACTGTCCTTTGACGACTCCTACTGGTGAACCAATGCGAGTTACAAAAAAAAACTCAAGAGCAATTTTAAAGAGCGTGAAATTCCCCATAAGGTGTATTAAACCGATTTGCAATATTGTCAAAGGTGGGTAAGCATTAGAAATTTGAAAAAAAACCATTTTTTTTACATGCATTTTAAATGGGAAAACTTTAAATTTAAACTGCAAGTACTTAAAATTGATATTAAGAGCTCAAACTTGTTGAGAATTTTTTTTTCTATATGCAGATTAATATTTTGCTTGAGCACCGAAGAAAACAAAAACTTTGCGGAAATGAATCACCCTAATGGGTATATTAGCTGACAGTGTAAGGAACTTTAAGAAGGTTAGCTATTGAATTTCCAAAAACACTTGTAAAAACAATTTACAGTTACAGTACCTACCTAATGGTTTTATATTTGAGATCTCTCATGGTGCTTATTTCCAAGAGCAAGTTATTTAATTACAGCTTAAATTTAGGTAGTTGATGACTAATTTGTTTTACTTGGGCATAAATATTTATTTATTTAAAGTAGGTACTTAAAACTTAAATATATTTCAAGATTTTTAAAAGTGTGTTTTATTCCAATTAAACCAACATTATAGGGGTTTATTTTAAAGGAATCCAAAACAACACCTTAACACCTTAAATGAATAAAATGGTTTGTTTCCTTATAATCTAACTTAAAGTAGGGATCCCGAGAGGTATGCACAAGTTTTGTTGTTAGGAGTATAAAAGCTTTAATTTAATTTGAACCATATTCAACAATTATTTAGTATATCTATATTTATATGACCATATTAACACACTCTTCCAAATAATCCAAAATACTTATTTATTCTGATCAAAATAGATTTTTCTAACCTTAAAATTTTAAAATTAGATGATATTTTTTGTTATAATATATTAACCTACCTTTGATACAGATATTCTTATTCCATAATAGAGAAGCTAGATTTTTTTTAATAAATGCCGTTTAGTTAAAACTATTTTATGGATAAAACCAGATATAATATATTAACATATTATGTAGACCAAATACACAAAAATTTTACTTATTTGGCACTATACACTTTAGAATTTCATTAAATGCAGTATTTATACTCCTAAACTCTTAAACCAACCATTGTTACTGTGATACTATAAAGATTTATAAACTTTTAACGCTTTTAAGCGTTTAAAAACATAAACGGTAACAGTATAAATATTATTTATTTCATTGACTATACTTTGACAGATACATAACCTGAAAAGCCTTAAATGACAAATTTTCAAAAGACTGCGTTCCGTACCTGGTCACGTGGTGGGACTTTGAAGTGTGGAGCATAGTACATATGTCTACATATCATTTAGAAGTTAGAACACAATTAATTGTGTTTGTATAATAAATTCTAGTTTTTAGTGCCTTTGTTTAAATTGAGAAGGTAAGTTATTTGATTTTAAGTAACTTATACCTTAAAAATTAAAAGAATTTTAACATCTGTCAAACACGTTTTTAGATTATTTTGTTTTGTATTTGAATATAATAAAAAATAAAAGTGTCGTAGAAAAAACATTGTGTTTCACTTGTAAGAAAAGCTTTCTTTAAGCTCGTCTTAATGCACAGTCGGCCTGACGGCCTCGTGAGCAACTTGAACATTCGCATGAAAAAGTCGCTTTTCAACACTTTTAAAACAAATAACTATTTAAAAGGTCCTACATGCCCTCGTTACATTAATACATTTATCTCATTTTTTTCATTTTGAGGGTTGGATTCCACCATTTATCACACTCGCGTTCCTTGGTGGCCATGGAATTTGAAGCACGGCGAGCATTTTAAATACCATACCTTCTTAAAATGAATTAGTCAAGCATTTCTAATTATTAGTCATATGTGTCTAATTGTCAATGACAATTTGTCATACCGAAAAAGCAGTCACTAATAACTAGTCAAATTAGTTGATTTAAATTTAAAAAAGTTCTGACCCAGCCGGGATTTGAACTCGGCTCTGTCGCTTGTCAAGCTGATGTCAGACCTATGCTCTATCAGTAACTTTTATAAAAAAATATTTTAAAGTTGAATATATTTTTTGTGTTGCAGTTTTGAGCTAAAATGTTTGCATCTTTGTTTGTTTTTATTAGCCATTTAACCATAGATATATGCATTTAACTTAAACAATAATTTGTTGTTGGCCTTAAACAATTACAGAAATTAGTTACATTTAACTTTCAGAAATAGACAAAGATGGTGATTTATCTTAAATTAGTCAGACTTTAACTATTTAAGTACCTAGTAAAAAATAACTATTTAAAAGTTAAAACGACTATTTTATTAATAAACAATGCTGGTACTTATTCACATAGTAGAATTTTCAATATTTTATTTTAAGATTTACTATAGTAAATATTGACATTTTTGTCAAATTTCCAACGCAAAGAAATAAAAAGTTGTGAATCATGGCGATGCTTTAAGTGACAGGCAGTTACGACAAAATTGTCAACAATTGTCAATTTTTTAAATTCTCAACAGCTAAAGCGAGGTACACACACATTCTAGTAGCACGCACTACCATGGTACCACAGTACCAAGCGAATCCACTATAAGCGAATACGTGACGACCGATTTATTGAAAACAAATTTTTCTTCCAAACTAATTATGCCCCTATAACGACCAAGATGTCGTTAGAATAGGTTGTTTTGTCTTCCCAAAATATTTGAAATTTTTAATTTCATTTGTTTTTTCTGTAATAAATGTTTAAACATTATTTTTTTTTAATTGATTAATCATTTAAATAATTAAAATCATTTTAATATCTTTACAACGACATCTTACATATGCCAATCGAAGAAAAAATAAATAAAATATAAAAAGTGATAGGCGATTGCAAATCAAATAAGTTTTTTTTTTAACTCATATTAATATGTTGAGAAACAAATTTAAAATTATCGCGCAGAATGTTGTTGAGTTAAGTCTGGAACCGGCTAGTTAATTTTTAATTTTAATATTTTAGGCTGATTACTTAAACCTTTTATCTGATATAAGAAGTGTATTAGGTAATAAATGGCTTCTAACAGCAGCTCTACCATCAACTCCTACAGCTGCCTACAATGCTACAGATATTTTTAAGTAAGTAACTACTTTTTATACCTATAGGTATACCTATGTTAATGTTATTTTTTTAATTTTATACCCTTCGTTTTATCAATCAATTTATTTGATTTTGTCCGATTACTTCTCATTTATTGTGATATATTTAAGGAGGACGTAGCGATTCCGATTATGGGGGGTGATTTTGGCGACTTTTAAATCTTAAAATTTAAAGGAATCCGTTGAAACGGATCTATAGATTCACTAAATATTTTTTTAAACATATTTTATAAGGCACACGAATTAGCGAAAAAATACATTTGTCTAAAGATTAATGGCATAGCGAGAGCATTTTAATTAATAATTAATTAGGGGAAAGCGGTTAAATTTAGGATATTTCTAAACATGCCGATTAATTAAGGGCTTAACTTCGTATTTCTTACTGACATGATCTCCTATTCATTAATTTAAAATACTTAAAAAATAATTTCTAAAAGGTGTGCATTTACCCCGTTCTGCCCCCAGGGGCAATTTAAAATATAACAAATTAACATATATGCGTAATTTGGCCATCATCGATAAAGTGGCTTGATTCATGGATTTTAATGATCAACTTTGCCTATAGGCATAGATGAGTTTTTCGCGAATAATTGTGAACAATCTAAAATAATTTAAAAAAAATATCGGGGGCGCAACGCGGTTTACCCCAAACCATTTTGCCCCTCGTGCTTAAAACTTATAAGAAGCCATGGATTATGATAAAAAAACAATACTTAATAGACAAAACTGTTTTGACAAAAATTATGCAAAATAGCTGCTGAATACAATGTGTAATTCGCAATTTAAACAAATAAGACAGAATTTACTTAACGTGCATTTACAAATCTGTAAAAATAATATTTTGAAGTTCCCAAGTAGCATTATAGTGACGAAAATTGATATCACCACTTTAAATGAGTGGCAATAACGTTTAAATTACTAAATCTACCACGATACAGTTAAAATATCTCCATATTATATTAGCATAGTTGTAATCATGTGATTTGCACCAGCAGAATATACTTTATAGTTTTATAACTTTTTGGTGTATTAGTCTGATATCTGAAATGCTATGACCACTTTTGACACCACCTTAAAGTTGTCTAAACTTTAGAGTGGATTATGAATAGTAACTGTAACCAAATCACACCACTTAAGTAGGTATTACTTTAAAGTGGTAGTAGCAGTAAAGTGGGTATATCAGTTTTGGTAACGTTTTCGGAACTTTTCCCAAACCTTGAATGTGACAAAACTTGATTATATAATTGCGGTGGTGATTGCCACGTTCTTGCTACATGCTTAAGTGATTTCCACATTTCGTATAAAATTACCACTTTATATTTTAACAGGGCATGCTTATATTTCAAGCTATGATACCTATGTTTAACAGTAAAATTTCATTCGTATTAATTTTATGTCTTCGGATTATTTTAATTCTAGTTATTATTTGCAAGTTGTACTCTTACAATATTATAATTCAGTGTTAGTTAAATATCCAGTCAGAAAAAGCAAAGATAATAAGATAAATAATGTGCTGGAAAGAGACGGGGATAGAAAGTAAAGATGTTCCCCATTTTAGTTACTTCCACGTAATAGAACCGTTTCTACCACGTGGCAGAGATTTTGGCAATATACTTAACAGTTCCAAGTATAAGTGGCCAAGACGTTTTAACCACTATAAATGCTACTTGGGTTAGCTAAACTTATTTTGAATTTATAGTTACTTTAGTATTTGTTTATATTCTGTATTATTATAATTGTCCTGTAATTGAAATTCCTTTTCTGTTGGGCAATAAAGATATTAATATTATTATTATTATTATTAAAGTCGACATACGCTAAACGAGTGTCAGGTTATTTTTGAATATGACGGATAAAGTTGTCAGGACTGCAGGACTTCAGGGGCTCTTTACTCCAGTTTTGAGATCACACGAAATCATGCGAAAGTGGGAGGATCTACGCAAAATCGTACGAAAGTTTACAAAAGCGTATTCTCGAAACAAGGGATTGATCATTAGTGATTTTTTCGTGCGAAGCAGTGTTGCCAGAGGTGGTACATTTGTACCATTTTGGTACATTTTTAACCTCGTGGTACAAAAGTACATCGAGAACAATTTTGGTACATTTTCTGCCTACTCTATTTTTTACAAAGGTTTTATTGAATTAAGAACATATCGTCTCCGTTCTGGCAAAATTCATTAAGTCCTAAATGTTAGTTTTAAGAAAAAAAAACACTTTAAACTTTTGCCTGCCAATTGACAAAAGAATTTGAACTTAGTTAAAAACGACCACGACTGTTGCATGCTAAAAATACAATACTACACTTAATGAGTTATTCTAGACCACAGATATACTTTTTTTATGATTGCGACGGTAGTTAAATACTTTTTGCCGAAAATGGAGTTAATGAATTTTGCCAGAACGGTGTCGATATAACATTTTTTTTAGTTTTTGGTTTAAATTATATTTGCTAACCAATAGCGATAATGAAAAAATATTTAAAAACATATGCCATTTTGTTTTTAATTTGTTGGCATTGCCGCATTCATCTGCATCTGCAGAAATATGCTTTTCTAGTTCAAATTTAATAAAAATCAAAAACCGTAATCGTCTTTTGCCGGACACATGTAACGCACTTCTTTTAGCCAAAGAACTATTACATGACGATTCTTGCTACAAGTGGCTGCCTAGTTTTGATTTATGTAAAAGAAAATTATAATATAGTGACGATTAATTATATACTACTATAACTATAGTAATCACGTTTAATATTTTAATGTATAAAGTACACAATAGAGAATTATGTTTTATTTTTGTTTTACGTGGAAGTTTTAAGTAAAATACCTACTTTTCGTTTTATAGAAGATTGTATTAATATATTTGTTGTTGAAAATCTAGTTTAATTATTCCCATCTTTTTTAAAACAGCTCAATTGAACATTAATATTTTAAATATTAAAATATTAATTTATTCTGTGTCCGTGTTTAAAACAAGCTAATTTAAGTTCATTTGAAATTTATATGGTACTTTTTATTTAAAATTGGTACATTTTTCGTGTTCACTTTGGTACAATATTATAGTTGCTTCTGGCAACACTGGTGCGAAGTGAACATCGCTTGGTGGGAAGTAGACGAACAAATCTGTAAAAATTATAATTTACTTTGAAAACTAGTCATTTTTGACTTATTCATTTTTAGATAGTACATTTTCTCGCATTGGCCAAACAAACCTGATTTTTTAGTCTCAGCCGAGAACCTAGAACGAAGTAAATTCTTCGCCAAGTTGTCAACGACAAATATATATGATGTGATCCGAGAAAAGGGACCTAGTCAAAATTAAGTTTTACAAGAGATGCCATTGTTCAAGTTCACGCGGCATAGGTGTTTGTGTGGTAACGTTTGAAAGCCAATTTTTAAAATATACAAATTCTCTCTGGGCCTTTTAAAAGATCGTTTACCACTATACTAATATTTATAATCTCAAAAATCAGTTTTTAGAAACTAGGTTCTTTTTTTGGATCGCGTCACATATTGTCCATTATTGTCCTTGCTATGCTCACTAAAGTTCACATTGTGAACTCAAAAGAGATTAACATTTAAAATTACTTACCTATTTATGTACAGTCCGCGCGTTATAACTTGGCGAAGTTCGATGCATGTTGGAACTTGTTTACTGCCTACCAACGGCGTTGAAGATTAAGATTAAATTTTCAAGAGTGAAATAAATAAAATAATAGATATTGCGTGGTGACATCTTTTTATCCAACTCTTGCAATATTTAGCAAATTCTTTTCCCGCAATTTTTGTTGCATTGATTTATTATTTTTTAAATAATTATAAACATGAGAAATAATTTCTCGAGCTTGACTTCCAAGAACTTTATTTTGTGAATTTTTCGTTTCCGCCATTACTTCTTTACAGTATTGCTTCTTAGATTATTTTTGGTAAAGTTTTATTTTGGTTATTTAGGTACCTTTTAAAATTATATTGCTTTGTTACCTTTACCTTTACTAAAATTGTATTTTATACAGGTAAAATATATGTACGTATTTATATAATTATAAGGTTCCTTTTAGGATTATATTACTTTGTTACCTACTAGTTTATCAATAATTTTGCGATACGATGAAATTTGGGTACACTTTCTATACAATAAATTGGACAAATAGCCAAACAATTTTAAAAGTAAATATTGAATACGAGCCACTGCTTTGCCAAACACGTGTTAAACTGAACTTAAAGGGCGGTACCATTACGAAATTACGCCAACTGAGCATATGGCGTTCTCGCCAAGTTATAACGCGCGGACTGTAAATACTTTTGGCCGCGCATGCTTTGCGCTTTGAATTCCCGAGTTCTGCGAAGCCTCGACCATGGCCGAGAATCCTGCCCTTTTTTCGCCTAAAACGAGACTAGATCTCGGCCAAAATTTTGGCCGAGAATAGCCGAGACCAAGACCGAGATCTCGGTCGTACCTTAGCAGCAGCGAACTGTTGGAATAAGGAGTAAATCGGTGCGCGCCAAAATGTTTCTACATGTTTCGGGAGGCTTTGTCAACACACTTAATATTTAAAAAAGGGTACCCCGTTCTACTTAACTACCCCGTTCAGCCCCGCTTTCCCCTACATACACAAATTCCGTCAAATTTATGACTTTTCAAAAGTTTACTTAGCTTTAAAATATTGTTTGTAACTAAATAATTAAATAAGAAAAAAAGCGGAGTTTCTGGAAAGTTACTGAAAATTATCTATTTATTGTTTAAAATTACCACAAGAAATCTTTTAATCATTCCCGATTTTTTATCAAAGAGACCACGAATTTGCCGAATAATCCTTAGTTAGGATTCTTCCCAAAATAAATTAGTAATTTATTTTGTCTACTATATTTAAATCAATTAGCTGTTAGTCGGCAATAGCTGCAGGTGCAGTAGGCATCAGTTAGCAGCTACCTAATAAACTTTCGAAAATGCTGACTAGTGAATTCACTGAAAAACGAGGATCCGAATTTACTTCAAATAAATTTTATTTAAATATTAAAATATTTTTTCTACGACCACTATGTAAAAGTCACATTTCATATTGGCATTGTTGCTTAGAAAATGAATCTTTTCATTGGCAAGGTAAAACACGAATGTAAAGTGACATTTCTGTGTGAAAAGTGACAGGTCTGTATGAAAAGAAATTGACAGCATCGTGACATTCGTTTCAAAATTTGTATTGTATTTGTATATGTATGTTTAAATATCATTTAGAACACAATTAATTGTTTTAGGTTTAGGGTTTTTAGGTTATTTTGTTTTGTATTTGAATATAATAAAAAATAAAAGGGTCGTAGAAAAAACATTGTGTTTTACTTGTACGAAAAGCTTTCTTCAAGCTCGTGTTAATGCACCTGAAACACTCGCATGAAAAAGTCGCTTTTCTACACTTGTAAAACAAATAACTATTAGCATAACCTCGAAAAATGCCCCCTCACTACGACCCTGTATTTAAAATAAGATAAAATTATCTACGGTATTTTAAAACCAATAGTTTTTAATAAGAGCGCACTTGTTTGATTAGAATTTTATAGATATCGTAATTGGAAATTCCAAAAGCATCATAAACATATTTTATAGTTTTTTCGAATTACTAAATATTATTATGTTATGATAACGTAAATTTAATTTCACAGAACATTTTAAAAATTTGTCCTGGCTTTTTTTGAGAAAAAATCTCTATAATTAATTGTTTCTTAAACGTATACGTCTATAATATACGGTATAGTCTATGTCTTGTGGTAACTACAATATTAAGTATTAAAAGATAAAAGTATAGAGTTCAAATTCACCTTGTCGCCAAGGTAGTTTTTAAAATGTAGAGTTTGTAAACTAGTTCTTCAAAACCTAAAAATTATATTTTTAACGTTTAAGATTCTTATTTTAAAATCCGGTAAAATCAGTAAAAAGTTAAAAACGTTTGATTCTTTTAACATCTTCTTTTCAGTTTTATCTTATCATTTTTTTATAGAGATTAGCTCGTGTTCACAAACTAATCTAGCAACTTCCCAACTAAATCTTATAATATATCTACCATTTTAATTAATTGCTATATATAGCTATAGTTTGTAAATTTGCAATGTAATGTTTTATTTTATTGTTTGATGAACATTTTAATTTAACAAATATGCGTATACGTCCTAGAAGTTTCCCATTTTACAATAGTTTCATTTAATAGTAAAATATATCCACACACCGGCAACAATTTAAATGTTGATTTCCTCACGAACGGCTCATCTGATATTGATGATTTTTTTTAACGTCAGTAACGATACTTTTCGATAATGAATCATTACTAATGATGCTATTTTTATTTTGATTTTAATATCCATACAGGGTATTAAAGTAAGATGAAGATTTTCCTGAAATTTGTGATATTGCGTGAATTTAAATCATACTACAGTACTATCGTTTCTAAACATTTGTTTTTTATCTTTGTTACGAAGAAAGATAAACTGTGTTGAGCCAGCTCCTCGGATAAAGTGTTTTCGCGAACTGCTCATCTGGTAGGTCGACTCATCAGTAACGATGCTATGCTAGACATTTTATTTAGATTTTAATTTAAGCAGATATTTTTTTCCCGAAATTTTTGACACAATGCAGTATTTATCAGAATAGTATATTCTGTAACAAGTTTGGAATACAGCATATTCCGCTCAAGTGAAGAGTTTGTCGCACGAGCGGAAGGCGAGTTTGACGGTTTCACGAGAGCGGAATATGCAATTCCAAACGTGTTTCAGACTATACTTTTTCTACGTTTCCAAAAAATACCATAGAAAAATAACTTAATTGGAAGAAAGTGAGGTTGGATCGGTCTAAATTTGTTAGATATTAAAAACAGAGATGTCGCCACGAGTGTTTATTCGGTCATCAGATGATAGAATATTTCATTCTGTAACACTTTACGGAATATATGTCATTTCATAGATAAAAGTGATATTAGAAGGGTTAAATTCCGTAATAGGAGTAGAAAAACATTTTTTCTACTCATATTACGGAATATAATTTTCACCCTGTGTATGCTTAAATTAAAACCAGAATAAAAATTTCCACCAAAGCATCGTTATTGAAAAGTTCAGATAAATATTAAAAAAAAAAAACATCAAAATCAGAGCGGTTCGCGAGGAAATCAACTTTAAAATTATGGCTAATTTCTGGTGGCCGGTTTTTTTAATATTTAAATAACTCCAAAATTGTTTTAAAAATAATCAAACATTTTTAGATAATGTGGAATAAATCCAAATTTACCACCTTAGTGAGTTTTACCCATATCTTTAGGTTTAATTATTTTATTTGTATATGTTGATACTTTTAAAGTAAATGTAATAATATTTTTAGAATTTTGGATTTTGCCAACATAATGAGCTACGATTATTTTGGACCATGGAGTTCGAGAACTGGTCAAAATTCTGCCCTATTTGAATCATCAAGAGATAGCGGATACGAAAAGAAATATTTAAATGTCGCAATAGCTGCAAAAAATTGGATCAAAGTTGGAGCAAATCCGAGCAAAATAAATATGGGTCTTCCCTTCTATGGCAGGCAATTTGAACTGAAAAATTCGTCAATTCATGGACTTCATGCTCCCATTAATGGAGGTGGTAAAAGAAAAGCTGCATCATTTACTATTGTAAGTTTTTACTATTTTGCAAATTAGTATTTTTAGGAAATTCTAGTATATTTTGTGTTTAATATCTTTCCACTTTAAATGTAAAAACACACATTATCGTAGGTAGGTAGTTAATTCACGTACGGAGGCCCAAACTAATTGGGGGTTTGTTATATTAGCTTGGCTACAATGACAATTATCGAGTCTGTTTTTTTTATTTTTGGTTGGTATCTTATTCAGTTTTAAAACTTGATGACATCCATAACAAAATTGTCAAAATATTTTTTGAATGCGTTTTCGAAAATGGAATTTAAGCGGCCTGGTATTTCTAAAGAAAAGAAACGAAACATTCACCAAAGTTTTCATACAATTCTGAAAAAAAATGGGAAAATCTTATTAAGGAGCGGAGTTATTTATATTGAAGAAACTATTATATTGACAGATGTTGAGAGCCTTTTGAATCTGACACCGCAGAAAATTAAATCATGCGCGGGTCTGCAAAGCACGCAGCAAAAGTTACTAAACCAGAATCTAGTTTGGGCTACCGTAAGTAAGTTAATAATGTAGCGAGTACCCGCCAAAGATAATACACCCCATAGATTGGAAACTCTCCCACCACTGCCCTCTATAGCTACAATACCTAAACTATATCTATTTGTAAATTGCAGACATCTGTACAAACGCTATTTGCAAATGTCAATGTCAATCATAATTATTGATGTCGATCATAATTTTTGAATTATTAAATACATTTTTGCGCCTGAAAAGTGATAAAACGTGTTAATGGTTGTGAAATGTGTTGTTGTTGTTTTTGGGTACGGAAATGTAACCAATTTGTAAGTATTGACTATCCTGCCGTCCTAAGCCAAAAACCTAAGCCAAAAAGGCTTTGTTATCTATGGCCAAAAAGACTCATTTCGTTATTGAAATCGACGAGGCGGGTCCATTTCCGGAAATAGAATCTGAAAATAAATACATCATCGTTATAATGGACTACTTCAGGAGTGGGCGAAAGCGTACGCTTTGGCAAACCGGAAAGCTGTCACAGTAGCAGATGCCCTTATTAAGAAGTTGATTTGTCGTTTTTGTGTCCCAATGGAGATAATACAGGGACTTTAAATCCATATTGTTTCAGAATGTCTGTAGGATTCTTAACTCTCGAAAGATGAGGACGACAGCATTATTCCGCAGTCTAATGGAATGGTAAAACGAATGAATCTAACGATAAACCGGTACCTGTCAAAGGGAGTCTCTGATCATCAAAGAGACTGGAATCGCTTCCTCCATCTGTTCCTGTGAGAGTACCGTTTTTTTCCACAATACGACTGGCCATACGCCCGCCAGCATTGTTATGGGACGTGAACTTCATCTACCTTGTGACCTGAGGTTTGGCTGCCTATAAGGGGAAGATATTGCTGGAAAAGATTATGTTAGTGCTAGCGATAAAATGAAAGAGGCATAAGACATCAAGGCGGAGAATGAAGGATTTTAACCTGGTTATACAACAATCAACGCCGTCGTGTATTTAAAAAAACTCTTAGGATATCTAGGGAGATAGCGGTCGCCTTTAAAAAAAAGTTTGAACAAATCAACGAACTACGAAGGCAGAATCCCAAAGTTGAAGAAGTGTCCGAAATAGTGGATTACGAGCAGATAGGCAACAGAAGCATCTTCTATCTGGTAACGAAGCAGCTCTACCATCACAAGCCAAACTACCGTAATGTATGGCATGCCTTAAAAATTTTAGGAATACCCTTTTGTCCAGGGACATCATGAACCTGGCGATACCGAAGCTTGCTTGTGGACTTGACGGTTTAGACTGGATAATAATTAGAATTATGCCTGAATTTATCTTCAGAATTAGTGGCATACACATTATTGTCTGTTGCCACAACCCTAAAAGAACAATCGAAATGAAGACCGTAGACTTCTACTCATATTGGACGTTACATTGCAAGTTTTATCCCTATGCAAATATCGCCAAGGAGCTGAGGACCATGTCACACTTTGAACTTTTAACAGGGGCGATGTAGCGAGTCCCCGCTAGGTAACTTCGGAATGTCGCTTGTTTACGCCGGGGGATTCCTGAACGTTTAAGAGTGGTGTGGAAGATACTGGAAGGATTAAGAAGGTCACGTACGCTGAATATATAAGACCCATCGGAGCGTCGAGGAGTCAGTTAAGCTTTGGTACCCACGACGAAATATACGTGGAAATAAATAGACTTTTGTACAATAGTAAAACATAATTAGTAGTTAAGTGATTAGGTATTTTCATAGAATGTAAGTGTTTTCATTGTAAACAAGTTATAAAAATAAATCGTTTAGTTCGTTAATAAACTAAGTGCGTATTTTATTCACACTGTCAAACCAACAATATATGTTTCCATGACGCTAAGTGATCTTGTAAATACACATTGATAGACTGTAACTTAATGGCGTAACTTTAGGCTCAGGGATGTATTCGCCCAAGGGCGTAGGGGAAGACTGCCCGGGGCGGCCAAAGGCCGCTTGTCTGTGCTTTGGGAAGCATTTTCGACTACCATTGGAGACCACAAATATTTTTGCTAAAAAAACATTTTTAAGTACCCGATTAAATTTGTATTACCCATTTACGAACTGGCTGAGTAATATTTACGCGCATCTCATTGCGGCAAGGCAACGCGTGTTTTCGGATAAAGTGGGGAATACTGCGCGCGGTTGTGTACATCGTATTGACTTGTCAATGACAAGTTACAGTATTTGCATTCATTTGGTAATTGTTGCCATTTCAGTTAAAGCATGGTATATTTAAATGAAAGAACGGTTATTGTACAAACCTGTGTACCTATATTAAAGTGCAGATCCCAAGAAAAAAAGTCACGGATTGCCGCAGACTTAATTGACTGGAAAACAATCACTATAAGCAAATTATTTTGGGTGTATCTGAGGCAATCGACATACAAAAATATCCCTCCCATACACACGGTTGAAAAATTTATCAAGTTGGTGACAGAAGCTTCGGCTTCACATCTTTAATTTATTTTTATTTTCATTCGAAATAGAAACTTCAAAAAGTTATTTTAGGAGAATCGAATTTTGATGAATTGTTGTTGGTAATTAAATAAAACTATTTGTTATATAGAAAAAAATAAAAAAAATCGATTTTATTTTTATTATTTCTGTGCCCTCAAATTTTGGAGGTTTAATTAAAGGACCCAAATGCAACTTTTTGTTAAATAGGCAAAATCAAATTTTTATTATTTATTTTTTCATTAAAATTCACTCCACATTACTCTACGTGCAGCGTCGATGTGTCCCTCAGAATTGCACTTTTTTTTAAATAAAGGGTTGATATATCGATGGTGCATTTGGAGGAATGATGGGATGCATTGCGGCGGTAGTATCCTCCGCTTTTTTTTCGTTGTTGCTGTTGTTCGGAGTGTTGTTGATATTGCTTATGAGGTAGTTGCTGGTGTTGTCGAGCTTGTGCGTGTGTTGGAATGTGATAAACAGGATTGGTTTGCATCATATGCGTAGCATGAGCTGAGGCTTGGGAAAAGTATTCGATGCGAGTCATAGTAAGAATATTGTTAGCAGTGTACAGTTGCTCGCTCGATGGATGTCTGGAAAAACGAGCTTATCTTCCGAGTGGAACAGTGACTGCTAAACCTGAGGGTTTGCTAGGCCGTAAATAAATTGCCAGAGTAAAAGTTTCTCAATAATTGTTTTTGTCCCAGTTGGGTCCAATGCTGGAGCCTTGAATTCACTCATGGCGGAGTCTTGCTACGTATTGAAGAATGTTTTCGCCTGTGAGCTTTCTGTTGATGAATTTGGCGTACGCAACAGCTACACTGATTTTAACTTCTTAGTGCTACCCTTATCTCGTCGAAAGTTGCCTCTTGTAGTGATTCGTCCTTGCTCTTGAAAAGGTCTGTAATGAGGTCGAAGAAACGTGCGTCTCCGTTGTTATGTAGCAGTACCATTATTTTGTATTGTATCCTCGTCCGTGTCTCCGAATGATGTTTCTAGGGATTCGATCCAACGGTCCCATTGCACTGGTTTGTCTATATCGAACGTCGGGTGATTATTATCGTAAACAATTTGGGACTTGTTGTTTGCAATAGCTTCCGCCAGCCCGTTTACAAGTTGCTTCAGAAAATTCGCTATAAAGTTTCCCATTTAATTACTATCACCAGCATTGTTTACACAAATCACTTTGTTTTACTGTTCATTGTTTATTTTTTGTTCACACAATTCCTCGTCGCCAATATTATGTTTTCACATATATTTTTAATGAATGATCAAAGAACTATTGCTATTACACAGAAAAAAATCTAACATAGTACCAAGAACAGCGCTGACATTGAATGCATTAAAATTGAAGCAATCTAAATTGTTATTTGCTCAATTATTTACTATTAAACCAAAATAGGAAAATATTTTGCCTAAATGTCAATGTTTAGAAATGGATTTATTTTATATTTGTAATTATTGCGGACCGCACAGTACATTTTTGTGTATGCGGTTTTGCATACCTTTAATTTGCATAATGTACAATTAATTATTGTTGTCGTGAGGCATGCGCGTTATAGACACAGACGCGTGTGAACAGAGAGACAAGAGAGACATCGATCGAGTAACACACATTGATCGATATTCCATAAAAAATAATTAATGTTAAAGTCAATCGGGATTTATGTAAAACACCTTATCGTGTGCCAACGGAACCTTTTCAAATCTGTGAATATAAGTGAGGTCGAACCCGTGCAATAGAGATTCAAAGGTCCTTACAGGAACGAACGTCAACGCTAGCTAGCCAACGAAACACGCCGAGTGGATCCATAAGGTAAGGCCTTTTAATTCTCTCGAAACAAATACAGTCCACTTCTCAATAAATTAATTACATCTAAGGTGAAACACCAGAACCTTTACAGTCAAGGATTTTATTGCCTTAAATGTATACATAGTATAAATACAATAGTAACGTTATTAAATAAATCAAATTAGTATTTAATGCAATAACATTCTAACAAATAAATATCAATAGGAATATCAATAGATTTAGGAGCGATAACTTTTGTTGTTAATTTAACAACAGTAAACGATTATAAACCAAGTGCTTACTACCTATTGGTATTATAGGAACTGTTATTCAGGAATACGGATTACAAGATCCCATTGGTTTAATGGCTCACCCATTCTTGCTATGCTAGCGTTTTCTCTGTGTATAAAACGTGTTAAATGCCAGAACGATTATACAATAATATAATATTTTAGTGGTCAGTTTTTTTTTAATTTTGTAAAAATATAAAAAATACATTAATTAGAATTACTCGCGAAAAAGGATATTGTTTTTCTCACGTTGAATTGAAATTACTTTGAAGATATTTCACTCGCTCGAAAAAAAATTACTTAGCAATCTAAGCAATTATTTCTAAAAAGTCCACGCTTAGTAAACAATATACATTATTATATTGTTTACTGAAGAATTACCTACTCCCGATAGATGAAAGTTTCCGAGTGATTAAATGAACTCATTGGAGTAATTGCGATTATGTATTAACATTTATTTTACTATTTAATTTATTTAAATTTATTTTATTTACACCTTTTTGGTAAATGATATTATGGGAACAGACCTGTAATATTTGACGGGCTTGTATAAAAGACCTGTAAAGTTTTACAGGCTTGTAAAAAAGCAATTTATGAAATGAAATGTCACATTTGACATAAAAATTAAAATTTTAAATTTGAAAATCGTTACCTAAAGGTAAAAATAAAAATTTGTACGTGTCACGCTTTGCAATTAATCTTTATTAGGTTCACTGAATTATGGGGTTCGCTCCTGCGTCGCTCACCCCACAAACTTCTAGCTCGCCCGTAAAGATTCATTTACAAAGCTTGACACGTAAATAACTATTAATTTATCCATTTTTTAACTCTTTACTCTCAAGTATATATTTTAAAATTAGTAGGTGGTTATATTTATACTTTGGCATTATATATATGGACTGCATTGGCATTTTATAAATATTTATTAAAAACTAAATGTTTAAATCTACATTTTAATTTTTTATGTGCAAAACAATATTTTATTTTAGATATGCAGAGATTATGGAAATTGGACAAAAGTATGGGATGAAGAACAAAAAAATCCTTATAAATATTTAGAAAATCAATGGATTGGATACGATGACGAAGAATCCATTGCCTTGAAGGTATAATAAATCTAAATAAATACAATATTGTAAAACGAATGTTATAATGACCCTTATTGTGATGAGTTCCGAGTATCACAATATGTCCTTTTAACACGAGTTTTTTTAGACTTATTTGTCTATTTCGATTATAGTTTATTAATAAAATTAATAAAAATCTAAAAAAAAACAAGTAGGTACCTACGTTTGAACAATTGACGTGAAGCAAACACTGTTCAAAATTTTAGCTAATTTTTACCTAAAATATTAGACTATATAGGACCATTGATTTTTTAAGGCAAACTGCTTGAAATGAATTCAGAGGAATATTCCCCTTGTAAATTAGTGAATTCTTTAACTAATATTTTTAAAGAAAATGATACAATTAATTAAGCAAAATTACTTAGGTTTCAAAGATGATACACCTCAGATCGTAAGGGATATTGCCTGAAAATAAAAGAATAAATTTCCTGTTTCTAAGGCAATTTGCTTAAATTTTTAGGTAGATTTTAGCTAAGTTTTTAGGCAAATTATATATATTTTTAGTGAAAATCCTAGCATCCTAGCATAGGAATTTTCTTCCAAGTTTCCTTTATCATTATGTCCTAGGCGAATTAACAACGGCGGTTCCGGTACTACATGTACCCTGCAGGGTTGGTATTGGCAATGGGAAATTCCATTTAGTTTGGATTACTTAACTATAGCACTACAAAATGTTCACTTATAGCACAATAATTGTTAACTATGTTGTTATATCAATAGCACACAACGCGGTCTTTAGGCTTTCGTTGATTTTGGCATTATGGTGGACAATATAGGCGCGAATATTTATCGTAAAACGTCGGTATTAGCGATCGTAGCCGATTGCAAGTAAGTCACTAATATTTAAAGGAATTTACCTAAATTGGTTCAATAATTTGCCATAATAATTTAGAAGAATTACCTAAATTAAAAGCAAAATTGTCGTACCTAAAATTAATTGAGATTTTGACTGAATATTTAGGTAATCTGCCTATGTTTTTAAATTTGACAAGTTTATTAAGTAAAGTATGAATATTTATCTAGAAGTTAGTGAATACACCATAGAACTAAGGCATTCGTTTCTGCCTAATAAACGAGAAGGTAAATTGCTTTACTCGTTTAAGCATATTACCTTATTTTTCCTTAACTAATTCTGATTAGGTATTTCAAAAAGCTTGATTTTGAACAGTGAAGTCTAGACACAGTTTACATTTACTTCTTATGATTTTATTTACATTTTATAGTATAATTTTGATAAACTAACCCAAAAAGGTACTTTTTTTTAACACATCGTTGACATGAAGACAAAAGTGTTGCCAACAGTCTAAAATAAAATAAAAAAAACCCTGTATCAATGCTTTTGAGAGGCTTTTAAAAGCATGAAACTGGGCATAATATAATTAAATTTTTTTTTTACTTAAACTTTTAGACGCAGCATATTCTATCAAACAAATACGCAGGTGTAATGGTTTGGCACATAGGGTCTGACGATGTGTATGGAGTATGTGGAGGAAAAAACCAAACCTTATTAAATGTAATTAATAAAGAGATTAAAAATTTTAATTTGAAAGTAGAAAAAATTTAAAATAAAATAAAAATATTAAAAAATTAATAGGAACTTTTATTCATAATATAGTCCAAAACATAGAGCTATTCCATAAACTGTATTGTTTTCGGCAGTATACTTTGCATATTTATCTTTTTCAGCATCCCATAAAAAATTCATTGAAACAAAAACATCCTGTTGGTTCTTCTCACCAAAGGTCACCAAAACTATTATTTTATATCTAAAAAAATGTTTTATTAGTTTATATTTTTTGCGGCATTCCAATACCCAGCCGAGCATGGGTCATAGTACATTTTAAAAGTTGTACTTTAGTTTTATTTAAAAATTTAAAAAATACACGTTTTATGTTCTAGTAGGTACATTAGGGTGAGCCAAAAAAACTAACCTATCGGATTTATGGGTTAAAATGAACCTGCATACTGCAGTTTTAGTGATTTTTTACACTTTTCAAAGCTTTCAAACATACGAATTTTTGAATTAAAAAAAATAATCCTGGTATAGATTCTTTGGGAAATTTTATGCTCTACAAGAATCCGCGACGTAAAAAATTTTATCTCAAACGGTTCAAAAGTTATAGTCTTTTTAATGAAAAACTTAGAATGCTCACCGACACCTTTTAAAATTGAGCAAAAAATTTTTCCTTGCAGGGAAATTTTTTGCTCGGTATGTAGGTTCATTTTAACCCATAAATCCGATAGGTTAGTTTTTTTAGCTCACCCTAAGGTACATTTTAAAATTATAGTAAATTTTGTGTATTACAATCATATTACATATATTGTTTCAATGAGGCAGTAGATTGTGTGCAAGGTAATTAATAAGCTTTTGCCGCCGTATTTGACTTTTGTATAGATGGGATTTTATGTTGCAAAATTTATAAAAATATGTACCTAAATAGGTAACGTTTTTGTTTTGATATAGGTAAGAAAATTATTAAATTAGGTAAGTAGGTACTCTAGGAAAATAAGTAGGTAATGTAAAGCTTTTAGGTGGTAAAATTATTTAATTTATAATTGTAAATTGTCAATATTATCGCATCACTTAACATTATCGCATCACATCACATTACATCACATCACATTATCGCATCACTTTGTCATAGCCTCCTGAGTTTGTCAGAAACCTTTCTAAGCCATGCAGTCAGTGGTTGATCTATTTGAAATCGTTGTGTTTTAAGCGGTGCCAGTCAGTGTAGTTATTTATTTAACTAGTGTAAAAAGTGCTACTTTTCGGCACGCGACGGTCGTTTAAAAATGAAAATTTAGATAAAATAGTTGAAATAAAATCAGGCACAAATTAAATCATTTTCTTTAAAACGGATTTTATTTCATTGCACCTAAAGTTATGATTAGTGAAGACAAATTGGTAATAATATTAAAATCCCATCTCTACGTATACACTTGAAAAAAAGAGAAACATAATATATGTATAGTATTCTTGTACATGTAAAATTATCTCATTACCTATCAAATTCAAGTTTTTTCACATCGCTTTTAATTTGATCTGAAGCCCATTTTGCCTGCGCTGCACATTTTTCAGAATTATAGGTCATATTCTCCATCGCCTCTTCGAGAATTTCTTTCAAAATTTTTTCGACTTTTTCTGGATTAAATGGGTTTTCCGATTCTAACCTATATGTATTTAGAAATCGATTCTAAAAAATATAAGCAATTTATAACATTTAAAATGTACCTTATTTATTAAAATGTATATATTTTTTAAATACCCACTTCGTTGGTAAGCGATAAAGAACTCATTACACTTAAAATTTGTAAACCCTAAAATTACCGTATCAGAGAACTAAAATTCATACATTTACTATAATGCTGCTTTATAAATATCGATCTTCTAACACTAGCACGCGGTGGTACAAAATGGACCTGCTGATTTTAATCAATTATATTAAGATAAATTTCTTTTTTACGATAACACAAAATGGTTTGTTTTATTGTTATTTTAATAACCCCTTATTTATTTAAAATGGATTATTCAAAATGCTCTCTTTAGGTAATACTTAAATTATAAATGACCCATGTGTGTCGTTAAAAAAATTGGTGTAAATATTGTGCAATGTAATTTTATAGTAATTTTAAACCATTGCAATGATAATTAAAATTGCACTGACAATCGAAAACAGCGTTTTGGGTCCACTGCCTTCGGCATCATAGGTGTTCGTACGACCACGTTTAAATCCTTAATATCAATCAAGGATGGTTGATTTACTTAGGACAAAGATGCCATAACACTTATTAAGGTAGATGTAAGTACCTATGTACGATATTTTTTCTCAACAAAAAGCAGTGTTTAATAACACAAAACTTTATTGTTTTATAAATAAGAAAAGTAGCGCACCAAAAGTTTCTTTATAAATTTATATTTATATGACACAGCGTGGAGCTTATTTTTTAAAATTATATTGACAATAATTTAGTTTGAAAAAAATATTTATCCATTATGAAGAATGGACCATGACACTATTTTTCGAACATAATTTTAGGCTCAAAGCCTATCTATCTGTTTTTTATGATGCCCAATTTGGGACCATTTTTTTAAGCAATTGGGGTCTTACCAATGATTAATGATTTCCTTGGCAGTTTGGCACGTGGCACCCTCCTGCTTGAACCACATATTTTCCGGATCAATGTCGTCCACATTATCGAAAAAATATATATATATAAATATTGTGCGGTTGGCCATTGACTTAAACGAAGAAAAAAGTATATATAATACCATCTGTGTGTGTGTGTGTGAGAGTCTCATAATTCTTTTGTGCCTTTGCGTTTTGTTTTAGAGAGTATGTTTTAAGGGGACATTCATTAATTACGTGAGATAAAAATAGGGGGGGGGGTCAAGCAAAATCTCACCAAATCTCATGTTAAGGGAGGGGAGGTCATTTAAAATTACACTCAACTTTTGGGTTCAAAGAATAGAAGTATTATAATTCAAATTTGTCAATCAATTTTTTTTGGGTTTATCATGTTGTCCGCAATGGCTAGAATATCACGTGAGGGAAAGAGGGTGGGTCTACCACATCTCACCAAATCTCACCAAGGGGGTCCAAATTATCAGAAAAATTCCTCACGTAATTAATGGATATCCCTAAGAAATGTATCCTCCATGAGCTAAGTTTGTCCATTATGTGGACCATTTTAAATTATGTAAAACAGGATGTGACTGTGTACACGTACCTACTTGTTGGAGCGCTTTCGGCCTTAGGCTAACTTCAGTGCTTTATTCTCAATGTACCGGGGGAAAACATTTCCAAAAAATACACATAAATAAAATTGAAAATGGTCATTAACATTTATATATTTTTTAAGTAGAAGACAGAAATATACTAAAAAACAACTATTTTTTTTATATATAAACTGCGCACCACTCAATGTGTCGCGACCAAAAAGTTGGTTCTTTTTCAAAACGACATAACTTTTTTGTTTCTTGAACGATTTAATTTTGGTTTGTGATGTCTGCTAGCCTCATCCTCTGGTAATTTATGCTATAGATATGAAGCTCACGGTTGGTCAAGTAAACTTCCTACACGGTGATATGTTAAACGGTGAAAAATTTCAATAACTTTATCCAAGCCCCGTTTGTAAAAAAATATTTTTTTTTTAGTTTTTACTTTGAAATAATGAAGTATTATAGGTTACCTTGAAACGTTTTTCAAATTTTTTGAATTGGAATCTTAGCAACGAAAATATGATTTTTTTTCCAAAAGAGTACATTTAAGGCTTTTTTTTAGGCAATACACTCAGTCTTTTTAGGAACAAGAAAATAAGATGGTGAAAGATTGTTCCTTAACCCTTTCAGTCCGGCGTTCGTTTGGCTCGCCTTGCTGCACAGCCGGCGTTCGTTAGGCTTTGCGGATTCGTACGCTTCCCGGACTTAAGGCCACGCGGATTCATACGTCCCGTACCCAATGTGAATTAAAAAACAAAACGTAATTTATTTTTTATTAAAAGAAAAAATAGTTTATAAAGTTTCACATAAAGAAACAACGTAATTTATTAAAAGAACTAATCATTTTTCACATTTAAAATAAATAATAACGATTCGTAACGATAATACCCGATCGCTATAAAATTGTGTTTATAAATAAAACGAAGCATAACGCATCATATTGTACCCGTGGATCCGATCGTTTCCCGGTCTCAATGCATCAGACAGCCGCGCGTTTAAATCCGTCTCCCGGCTGTGGGATCACATTAGGTTTTGCGGACGGATCCGCTTCCCGGACTGAAAGGGTTAAATAATTCTAAACAAGCGACAAGCAACAAACTTCCAGAGGGCCTAAGCTAAGACCCTTTTTTGAAAATGACATTTTTGTGAAAGTTTGCAAAAACTAAACCTAAACCGATATTTACTTTCGTAAAATGTTTTCTTCATAATTTTGACCTTCTGATTGTGATTCAGTTGTCAAACTTAAGTTTCAGATAAAACCAAAATCACTACGAATCAATATTCGAAAACAAGTCCCGGCTGTCCGATTGCTGGTTTTTAATGTTTTTTATATATCGTTAATGAGTATTTAAGGGACCACCATACGAGAAAATGAATGGGCCACCATTGTCTCCGGATATGAATCCTATTGAGCATGTGTGGAGCAGGATAAAATTGAAGATGAAAGAGAGGGAAGGAGGCATGGAAAATTTGGATGAATTGGTAAATGCTATTTAGAAAGAATGGGGTATCCCAGAAATTTCTAAGGAACTTGGTCGAGGGAATGCCCAGGAGGGTTAACGAATTATTACGGCTTAGGGGAGGGCCAACGAAATATTGAAAGGTATTATTGTTATTGTTTGTTACATTTTTCTGTTGAATGTTGAAGTTTTGATTATGCGCATACAATTTTCAAAAATGAACAAAAATATGTTTATTTAACTTTATTATAAATTAGGTAGGTAGGTACTTATCATGTTATCATTACTGCGCAATGTAAATATAAGTTATGTAACATCCTAACCACTCAAACAAATTGCAGTAATTTCGCCCAAAAAATGAATCCCCGAATGGCATTTTTATCATAAATATGCAGGAAACACGACAGCAATCGGATTTTATTAAGACATTTAACAACAGGGAATTGTTTTCAAATTTTGATTCTTGATGATTTTGGTTTTATCTAAAACTTAAATTTGACAACTGAATCACAATCAGGAGGTCAAAATTATAAAGAAAACATGTCACGAACGTAAATAGGTTTTCGCAAATTTTCACCAAAATGTCATTTTGAAAAAGTGGTCTTTGCTTAGGCCCCTCTGAAAATAATGGAAGTTTGTTGCTTGTCGCTTGTTCAGAATTATTCAAGGAACAATCTTTTACCATCCTATTTTCTTGTTCTTAAAAAGACTGAATATATTGCCTACCAAAAAGCCTTAAATGTACTCTTTTGGAAAAAAAAATCATATTTTCGTTGCTAAGATTCCAATTTGAAACATTTGAAAAACGTTTCAAGGTAACACATAATACTACATAATTTCAAAGTAAAAACGAAAAAAAAAATATTGTTTTACAAACGGGGCTTGGATGAAGTTATTGAAATTTTTCACCGTTTTACATATCACCCTGTAGGAAATTTACTTGAAGAACCGTATCTATAGCATGACTTGCCAGAGGATGGGGTTAGCAGTAATCACAGACCAAAATAAAATCGTCCAAGAAACAAAAAAGTTATGTCGTTTTGAAAAAGGACGAACTTTTTGGTCGCGACACATTGAGTGGTGCGCAGTTTAGTTAGATTGGGAAAATAATTTAAAAATTATGTTTTAATAAAAGAAATATCCCACACAAAATAAATTAAAGTTTTTTTTTAAAGAAAAATGTACATAAAAATAGCTAACTTGGATTTTTTTTTTTGAAAAACTGAATAAGTAATTTTAAAGAATATGAATTTAAATGTTGTTTTGTATTTTTTTAAAGTAAGTTTAAAAACGAAAAATTTGAAAAAAACTATTTTTTTAATTTTTTTAGTTTGGTAAAACAAAAGTTACAGAAGTTGGGTAACAAAAATTTCATCCAAATCAAAAGTGGCAGGGTTTAAAAATGGCTGATTTTGCGTAAAATTCTTCATTTATATAAGCAAAATTTAAATTTGCTTGGAATATCTTTTAGGTCACTTATTTTTTAATTTCAAAATTATACGGAAAATCAAATCTCCAAGATTTATATTTTTTGAGATATTAAGCTTTGACTTATTTGTGATATGAAATATTTACTGCCTTTCAGTCTAAAAGTCTCAGATGACTAGATAATCCGTAAAAATTTCACAATTAAGTCAAAGCACAATATCTTTCAATCATAGAGATTTGGTTCAAATGACTTTTGAGTATGAGTATGAGTATAAGGAACGTTTGGCTGGCCCCAACGGCAACGCCTTACAATGATCTCCCATTGTTGTTTTACCCCCTTTCAGTTCTCCTACACAGCATTACCTGTGTTTGGTGGATCAGAAATTTTACCCCGGCTGGTAAATCTCGCCTAGGAGGTCGTGAATGACAGTGTCGATGGTTAAGGCCACTCACGGAATTTTGTCGCCAGGCCGGGCCATAGCCTATGTATAGGCCCGATTTAGGCTAGCGAAGTGCGGTACAAGGATTAAAAACATTTTGATTTTTGAGGGACATAAACTGACAAAAAACTTGTGCAATCCGGAGTCCCCCTCAACCAGGGATTTAGTAATAACCCCATTCAATTGGGGTTCATGAATGACACTTGATTGGTAAATACACTGCTAGGACCTGTCCTTGCTGGTTTTGAAGTACTTTCTGTTCGTCTGTGTCCGTGTCTCTGTTGGAGTCGAATTCCGAGCTGGCTGACTCTCAATAACATTGCACCCACTGTGCGGTTGTTTATTATTTCGCATAGAACTTATTACGTCATTAACGATTCGGCCTCTTCGTTACCTAATTTATGGTCCCCTTAAATGTGCTTAGTAATCTAAATATGTTTATTTCTTTAGGATGAGTGCTTCTTATGTGTGCCCTTGTTTATGATGTGTGAGGACATTATTCTTTAACCTCTACCGCACATGATATTTCTGTGTTATTAATCCAGGAAATTATTCGTTGTATCCAATCACCTCACTCAAACCTCTTTTCACAGGTAGAGAATTTTGGGACTTAATCCAGGAGGAGGTACCACACGCAATTTGCGCCCTTTTTGCACTTGGTTCTGCTATATTACGTGTGTGATTTTTAATTTTTTGATTTTAATTTTTGAATTTGATAGCACTATGGAAGTACTTTTACACACCCAGACCCGCAACTAAGCTAGTCCAAGGGTGCAGTGCACCGAGGCCTCGGTTGTAAGGGGCCTCCTGGACCAAGAAGCTTTATTAATAAGGGTAATGATTAAAAGAAAACTTGTATGTATCCCCGACGTCCTTGGCTGCAAGGGATGGATCAAAAAGCTTCTCAAAAAATGTATAAATTGAGGAGATCTGCAAATACCCCCCCTAATAAACAATCCGTGGGTTATTACGATCCTAATTGTTTAAAATAAATGCATTCAAAAAGCCATGTAAATAAAACTAACATTTAAATTTAGCGCAACGGAAATACGAATGACATAAAAAGGTAGCGTGCCATTGGTTAGAAAAACTCTCCTGATTAAGTGGGAAAAGGTAGGGGGAAAGAATGCTAGACGCAAGGGAAGATAGGGGAGAACATTCATTCGAGCATTGGAGCAGAGCCGAGCAG